CAGCTCCACCTTGTATCGCTGGAGCCCGGCAGATCTGGCTCTGAGTCTGCCCAGGCCTGCAAGTCACACAGGCTTCCAGGATCAGCGCCAGCTTGGGCAGTCCCCTGACTGCTCACATCCTGCCATCCCTGTCCCCGCTGGACGGGAGGAACGCTGCCTCTTTTTAGGTAGGAGCTGAGGACGGAAGGCAGAGTGAGTGGTACATGTGGAGCCCAGGGAAAACAAACTGTTGTTCCTGTAGTGGGCCAGAAGTCAGCCGACGCCTCACCCAGGAGCCCCGGGGTGACCCCTGACTCTGCTGCACCTGTTCCACCATGCAGGAGATCACCCAGGGGTGAGTGGGGTTGCCAGATTCAGAAACTGAAAACATAGGGTGCCCGGTTCCAGGGAAGCTCATCTCAACAGCGAAAAGTGTTTCAGTGTGGTATGTCCCAATGAGTGCATCCACTGTACCAACACATTGTTAACTGGACATCTGAAATTAATTTTTTCCTAGGCACCCTGAATTTTATCCTGGTTTGGAGGAGTGGCTCCCACGGTCAGGATCTCCTTCCCTTGCCCGGGACATTTCCCACAGGGACTTGTTTTTCAACTCCATGAATGAGAACTTCTATTTTGCACCTGTTTGAGGCCAACACCAAAGAAATGTGTTTCACTAATCTGAGTTCACTGGTTTACCAACTATAGTCAGTGCTAAAATACGAACTGTGGACAAATTAAACCTAGCAGAGTTTCACTGAAGAATGGTTCATGGATTGGGCAGTGCTAAGAATCAGGAGAGGCTCAGAGCACTCTGCCCAGCCACATGGGCAGGCAGTGTTGATAGGAAAAGGAAGTGACGCACACAAATCGCTTGATGGGATACAGCTCAGCATTTGCCTTCTTGTTTTTCATTTTTAAAGATTTGTCTATTTTGCCAGTGCCGCGGCTCACTAGGCTAATCCTCTGCCTTGTGGCGCCAGCACACCGGGTTCTAGTCCTGGTCGGGGCGCCAGATTCTGTCCCGGTTGCCCCTCTTCCAGGCCAGCTCTCTGCTGTGGCCAGGGAGTGCAGTGGAGGATGGCCCAGGTGCTTGGGCCCTGCACCCCATGGGAGACCAGGAGAAGCACCTGGCTCCTGCCTTCGGATCAGCGCAGTGCGCCGGCCGCAGGGTGCCAGCCGCGGCGGCCATTGGAGGGTGAACCAACGGCAAAGGAAGACCTTTCTCTCTGTCTCTCTCTCTCTCACTGTCCATTCTGCCTGTCAAGAAATAAAAAAAAAAAAAAAGATTTGTCTATTTTATTTGAAAGGCAGAGTTATAGAGAGAGGGGGACAGAGTGATCTGTTGGTTCGCTCCCCAAATGGATGCAACAGCCAGAACTGGGGCGATCCAAAGCCAGGACCCAGCAGCTTCTTCCAGGTCTCCCATAGGGGTGCAGAGGCCTAGGGACTTGGGCCATCCTCTGCTGCTTTCCCAGGTGCATTAGCGGGAGCTGGATTGGAAGTGGAGCAGCCAGGACTTGAACCGGCACCCATAGGGGATGCTGGCACTGCAGATGGCAGCTTAACCTGCTGTACCACAAGGCCAGCCCCAGCATTTGCCTTCTTTGGGTATGGTCTGATTGGTTGGCAGCCGTGATAGGCTAAATCTCAGCTGCTGTGATTGGGTGAGATTCAGCTATTGGTTACCAGACTATACTATTAAGTGAGATTGTAGTTTGTTACTACTAAGTTATAGTTCACAATATAGGAGTGCAAAGTAAGGAAGCAAGTTTAGGCAATTATTTATTTATTCCAGATTTATTTATTTATTTGAGAGAGTTATAGAGAGAGGGGAGACACACACACCGAGAGAGAGAGAGAGAGAGAGAGCATCTTCCATCCACTGGTTCAGTCTAAAATGGCCAAGGCTGGGCTAGGCCAAAGCCAGGAGCTTCCTCTGGGTCTCCCGGGTCTCCCAAATGGGTTCAGGGGCCCAGTGGCCATCTTCCACTGCTTTCCCAGGCCATTAGCAGGGAGCTGGATTGGAAGTGGAGCAGCTGGGACAGAAACCAGTGCCTATATGGGATGCCGGCTGAATGGGTGGTGGCTTTACTCACTTTGCCACAATGCCAGCCCCCATGTTTAGGCTATTTTTTACGCTAATTATTTTTTCCTTGAAAAGCAGAAAGACAGATACAGAAAGAGAGACAAATGGACAGACAGACATAAATGCACAGATTTTCAATCCACTGGTTTACTTCCCAAATGCCTGCAACAGCTGCGGCTGGATCAGGTGGAAGCCAGGAGCCTGGGACTCAATGTGGATCTCACACATGAATGGCAGGGACCCAAGTACTTGAGCAATTGTCTGCTGCCTCCCCCGGTGCACATTAGCAGGAAGCTGGATGAGAAGTGGAGCTGGGACTTGAACCCAGGCGCTTTGAGATGGGACATGGGCACCTCCAGTGGTGTCTGAACCATCGTACCAATCACCTGCTCCCTAGGCCAACTTAATTTAACATGAGTGGCAACAAAGACCTGGTCTTCAATGACATATAATTGTCTATAGTAAGTGAAGGGGCCGGCACTGTGGTGCAGTGGGCTAAAAGCCCCGGCCTGTGGTGATGGCATCCCATATCGGCACCAGTTAGAGTTCCAGCTGCTCCATTTCCAATTCAGCTCTCTGCTATGGCCTGGGAAAGCAGTGGAAGATGGCCCAAGTCCTTGGGCCCCTGCACCTGCCTGGGAGACCCAGAAGAAGCTCCTGGCTTCGGATCAGTCCAACTCTGGCCATTGTGACCATTTAGGGAGTGAGCCAGCGATGGAAGGTCTCTCTCTCTCTCTCTCTCTCTGGTTCTGCCTCTCTCTCTCTCTCTTTCAAATAAATCAAATAAATCTTTAAAAAAATACATAGTATGTGAGAGGCTGCCTTAGACAGGCTGCGGCTGGTGTCTTGTCTCTGAAGAGTTTGGGTTTGTGATGCAAAAACAAATGCCAGAAAAATGGTGGAATCAGCGAGTTCATGAGGAGTGTTTTCAAAAGGGTGCCTCCGTGGGGTCTGATGCCAGCTGTTAAATCCAAGCATGTGCGCTTATTCTTTGTCTCACCTGTTTCTGTGCGAAGCACCCCGGTCTGGCTGAGGACTCCCCCTCTACCCCGCTATTTCTTGGCACTGTGAGGAGGAGCTGTCCCCAAGGCTCAGGACCCCTGAGGGTCTGGGCCCCCTGGGTCTTGTGCACAGGTGCAGTTTTCCTCTGGAGTCCTGTGTTTGGGCTGTCTGCCCTTGGCCGGTCCCTGTGTTGGGAGTCTGGTGGGAGAAGTCCCACTCTGCCATAGGTAGAAGGCAGCTGGTAGCTGAGAAGGTTGGGGGTGCACCTTGCAGTGCTTCTCAGATGGGAAGAAGCAGCCTGGGGGCACCCAGCACCCCAGGTGCCTCCCACCCAGGGTCACATCAGGTCCTCCAGGCATGGGCTTCCCAAAATCCAGCTCCATGGAGCCAGAGCAGCTTGGACAAGGTTGAGAGGCGCTCAGCATCCTGGCCCCACTGTACCCCACCCACACTGCCAGGGCATTCAGAAGCACCCCCCCCCAGCCTCCTCCCTTTCTGAAGAGGCCCTGCTCCCCCAGGCCAGGACAGGATGTCACGTGTGCCCCTTTGATGTTTAAAGATAATCTCTTTGGATGAACAGGCTCAGGTAAATGTGCTGGCCTCGCTGCTCTCCCTCCCCCAGGGAGACGGTGCTTGGGCTGTGCCTGGCAGATGTGGTGGTGCCCTGCGGATGGCCACCAGCCGGGTGCTCCTGGAAATGTCAGCCATGGTCTCCCGTGGCATTTCCTGGTCCCCTGGTGCCACTTGTGGGTGAAAGGGAAGGGCTGATGGAGTCCCAGACTAACTGATTCTAAAGATATATATAAATATATATATGAAGGTACTTCAACAGTGTGTGGAGAAAATGGAATTAAAAAGTTTTTCTTTTGCTGCAAAAATTTTTGGTCTATGCATAGTTTTCATATAATGTACCTTTTCCACAATGTGCATTTTCCACAGACCTTTTGAAGACCCAACGTATGCATGTATTTCAATTTTTTTTGCACCAAAATGAATTGATCTTTTAATTCCATTTCCTGTGAAAAATTTTAAGTCCTCTTGTGTGTGTATACACGTGAATGTGTATTTGCATAGCTGCATGCATATTCTTAAATATATTTTGTATATACTTATACATATAAAAAGCAAGTGAAGAGAACACATCCAGATACAGCAGGATAACGATGGGTTGTTATAACCAAACTGAGATGCGTCAGCCTGACCGGCCTGTGCCTGTGGACAGGGTCGAGGTGACAAACACAGCCAAAAGCCTCGCTGCTCACTGAACCGTGTTCAGCAGGCCTCCTGGCCACTTTGCAAGCGCCCCTGCCCCTCGTGCTCCTGGGAGTTCCCAGAGGGCCATTTTCCAGTGGTTTGCACACCGTTCTGACAGCTCCAGGCACTTCATGGTGGCCCTCGCCAGTGCTGCTCTTCTGAAGTGGTCACCAAAGCAAAGCGGGCTATGCTGGTTCTGTGCCCCGGGCACCACAACCCCCAAAAGACCCCGGGAAACAGTCGTCAGCACCTGGCTCTCAGTCTGTCCTCACGGAGGCTCAGGCCTTGCTCAGGAAGGGTTCCAACCCTGAACCTTGCACCAAGAATCTTCCAACAGGGGGCCAGCGCTGGGGTGCATTGGGTTAAGCCACTGCCTGCAATACTGGCATCCCGTATGGGCACTGGTTCAAGTTCCATCTGTTCCACTTCCAATCCAGCTCCCTGCTAATGCGCCTGGGAAAGCAGCAGCAGATGGCTCAAATACTTGGATCCCTGCACCCAGATGGGAGACCCAGATGAAGCTCCTGGCTCCTAGCTTCAGCTTGGCCCAGGATAGGGTCATCTGGGCAGTGAACCAGTGGATGGAAGATCTCTCTCTTGCTGTCTCTCCCTCTCTCTCTCTGTAACTCTGACTTTCAAATCAATCAATAATTATTTTGAAAGAAGCTTCCAACAGTTCCATTATACTCATGACATTTTATTTTTCAAAAGAAAAGTCATCGTTCAATTAAAATATATATGCATCATCCACATTTCATTTTTTTCCTCTAGAGAACTTTAATTGCAAACATGCCAGGGATGTAAAGGGGTCTAAGGGCTGCTGTGGGCGTGGAGAGTGAAGGAGAGGAGCTGGCCTCTCGGTAGCTGTCACTCTAGAATCAGGTATGCGCTGAGGGCTTTGCTCCTCATAGTCTTCACCTCCTCCAGTACCCTTTCCCCCAGCTTCTCTGCTGGCTGCGCTTGGTCCTTTATCTCTCTGTGTATCAAAGAGCACAGGGCTGCATGAAGGCACTGAGTAGAACATGCAAGCTGGGGAGGGCACTGCGGTGCTGTGGGTTAAGAGGCTACTGGGGGCCGGCGCTGCAGCTCAATAGGCTAATCCTCTGCCTGCAGCACCGGCACACCGGGTTCTAGTCCTGGTCAGGGCGCCGGATTCTGTCCCGGTTGCCCCTCTTCCAAAAAAAAAAAAAAAAAAAAAAGAGGCTGCTGGGGATGCCGGCATCCCGTATCTGAGTGTCAGTTCCAGCTCAGCTTCCGATGTCTTTGGGGCCTTAGCATCCTAAGTCCTTGGGTCCTTGCCACCCACGTGGGAGACCCACATGGAGCTCCTGGTTCCTGGCTGCAGCCTGGGCCAGCCCCAGCTGTTGTGGCCATTTGAGGGGAGGGAAGCAGAGGATGGATCTCTGTCTATCTCTCTCTTTGTCACTCTGCCTTTCAAATAAATACATAAATAAATCTTTATTAAAAAAACGCATGCAAGTCACTCACCAATGCCCAGCACAGCCAGTGAAAACTGGAGGAGTTCACTCCCCAAATGCCTGCAACAGCAGGGTTTGGGCCAGGCCAAAGCCAGGTCTTGGAACTCCATCTGGGTCTCCCATGTGGGTGGCAGGGGCCCAAGCACTTGAGCCATCACGTGCTTCATATTAGCAGGAAGCTGGGTTGGAAGCAGACTAGCCAGGACTCGAACTGGCACTTGGATATGGGATGCGGGCATCCCACGGTGCCACAATGCTCCGAGCTGCACGTGGCTGGACAAATCTGACCCCAGGCCACCTCTCAAGGAGGAGGCACAAGGCCGAGTACTTACTTCTCCTTCTTGGTGTCCTTGTGGTCCAGCAAAGGGAATTCTGCCTTGATCATTTCCGGAGTCAGCATAACCTCGATGTTCTGTTCACAGAGCTCGCTGCAAAACAACAGAGGAAGTGTAGTGGGAGCTGCCCTCCCTCCCAATGCGAAAAGAGAAGTTAATGCTGTGATGGTTAAGCAGTTATGCAATCCTCGTGGCTTTCAACACTAGCTCCATCTCCTTTTGTTAAGTCTGTGTTCAAAGAAGCGTAAGACTGATAAATTGCTTTCTTCGAAGAAGCAACAGCAGCAATGGTTATTTATAGCCAGAGGAGAAAAAAATTTTTAAAAATGGGGTTACTGATTTCATATTCAAGCACGGAGGGAACGTTGCCCAAAAATGACCACATCTTGGGCTGTAGAGAAAGCCCGAGTTATTTCCAAAGCTGGAGATCACTCATGGGACATTCTCTTGCCAAAGTGGAACTAGGGTGGAAATCAATAGCCAACAACAACAGAGAATCTACGCTGGCTTTAAAAGGAAGCAATCAACACATGTCTAAATACTCTCTGGAGACGATTTTTGTCTTTCTGCACATTTCTATTAGAACAAGCGTCAGCAGTCTTTGTTCTATGCAGACTCCGTGGGTCCTGTGGTCTCTGTTAGGACACTCAGCCCTGCTGTGGTGGTGTGAAAGCAAGCACAGAAGATACTTAAATGAGAGGCAGTGGCTGTCTGTGGGCCTCAGTTGGCCAACCTGTGGCCTGGAGCTTCGCTGTTGGGTGGCTAAGGCTGGGTCACTGCCTCTTTGGGTCTCTCCAGGAGCAAAGTGCAGGGGGTCGGGGCGGGAAGAGTATGCAGGGCACAGGTGTGGCTGCTTAGAAGAGTCCGAGGCTCAGGAGATCTCTCCCGTGTGTTAACGTCCCAAGCCAACAGGAGGACTTAACTGCAAGAGAGGCTGGGACATTTAAACTCTGGTTGCAACAACTCTATGTTCTTTAAAAGGAAAAAGCAATGTATTTTTTTTTTTTTAAAAAAAGAAAGATTTATTGAGAAAGAGAGATAGAGAGACACAGAGGCATCTCCCATCTGCTGGTTCAATCTGCCAATGACCACAACAGCTGGGGCTGGTCCAGGCCAAAGCTAGGAGCTTGGAACTCTATCCAGGTCTCTCTTATGAGTGGCAGGGGTCCAAGCACTTGGGCCATCTTCCACTGCTTTCCCAGGCGCATTAGCAGCAAGTTAGATTGGAAGTGGAACAGCTAGGGCTTGAATTGGCATAATAACATGGGGTGCTGGGGCTGCAGGTGGCAGCTTCACCCTCTGCATCACGACTTGCCGCAGCAGTCTGCCACACTCACTTAACCGGCTACGCTTCCAGGACGGACCAAGGCAAGAGCGCGCCAGGGCGTGCGATGAGGTTGCGCTCCCGTCCTCCCCATCAGCATCGTTTTCCTCCTTCGTTCTGACAGCTCCTGATACGTTACTGTTCCTCGTGGGCTGGGCCACCTGGGACTTGGACTTGTTCCCTGGGAACCTGAAGCCAGTGTGTTCCACACCACCAACCCCCTTGTGGAAACACCCTTAGGCAGCTGGTGTGAAGAGAAGGCACTCCCTTTCCAGAGCTGGACTAGACATTCGAGTGCCACCGCAGTGGACAGGTCATGAAGAAGCGGACATAACGGCTCAGATAGTTGGGGTTTCATCATTGCTTATATGCACGGAAAAATGTGCTAAGAGTAGGTGTGAGAGGAAGCAATGGACGCAGGGAGCCACAAATACCGGGGTTTCCCCAGACGCAGCCTGGAAGACCCCGCGGCCTGGCCAGGCAAGCCGTAGACCAGGCCCTGTGATCACTCAGCGGGCGGGCGGGGGTCTTCACCTAACTGCCACCAGTGCCTAGGCTCTCAGGACTGCTTCGCTCCATCGCACCTGACAGTGCAACTTAGAACATGCAAGCCTGGAATGCTTGAGAACAGGAACGTTTTCAACTACCGAGGCCAGGAGTGCGAATCAGCAAGCAGGCTGCCGGAGAGGACAGTCCCCAGATGGCCTTGACTGAGCCGGCCCTGCCCCCTCTTGTTTGCCACCCTTGAGCAGGAAGCAGCAGGAGTGCCACCACCTGAGCTAAGAAGGAAGCGTCCAGAACCACCAGGCCGTGTCCTTGGCACTCCCAGGACAGTGAGCCCCGTGACGCCCAGGGTGTGAAACCTGCAGCGGAGTGCTTTCAGGGGCCCTCGGCTGCAGTGTGACGCCGACGTCCAGCCAAGACTGCACTCATCCGGGGCTTCCCTGGGCCTTGGGGCCCAGCCCCTGCTGAGCCCTAAGCTTCTGTTGATTCTTGATGCCTGCCTGCGCTTTGCCTGATTCACTGAGCCTGAGTTCCGTCTCACAGACTGCACCGAAGAACCCTGCAGATGTCACAGAAAGGGTGCCGCATGGGGTCCTATAGAAAGCGACAGGAACTAAGTCACCTGGCCACAGACAGACGGGGCGCACTTCCTCTTCCTCACGCGCAGGCAAAGCAAGGCCCTGTAATTGCCCGATGGGGCAGGAAGCAGAACCAGATGCAGGGATGGGTGGGCAGGCAGGGGACGAGGCGCCTGGCCCGAATGGTGATCAGAGACCACGCTCTTCCAGGCTGACTGACTGGCCCTTTCCTCCCCCGCTCCACCATCGTCATCCCCAGGCCTCGCCAGGTGCTCAGCTAAACCAGCAGCCCAAATCAGCCCCCTTTCCTTTGGGAGTAGCTCGTCTTAGCTATGTCCTTGTGGTACCGAAAGGCTGACTACCACAGTGGGGTTTCAGGTTCTTGGGTCATTGCTCATGGCCCCATGCCCTTGCTACATGCTGGGAGCCAGACTGCACATGGTGCACGGATTCACTCCTTTGCCTTCACAGTCCCCCAGGAGATGCGTCCTGGGGCTATTCTGTTTTAGAAGAGAGAATACGGAGGTGTTGAGAGGTGATGTCATCTGCCCGGATATACTGACAGTGAGTGGCAGGGTGGGGGTTTGAACCTGCAGCCTGTACCCCTTCTCACTACACTGCACAGCCTCTCCTGCTCTCCACAGCCATTCTCACGGGATCTAATTTTGTAAAAAGATTTGCTATGTGAAAGGCAGAGCATCAGAGAGAGAAAGAGATAGAGATCTTTCATCTACTGGTTCACTCCTCAGTTGCTGGGCCAGGCTGAAGCCAGGAGCCAGGAACTCCATCCTGGTCTCCCACATGGGTGATAGCCGCCCAAGCACTTGGGTCATCTTCCCGTCTTCCCAGGCGCATTAGCAGGGGGCTGGATCAGAAGTGGAGCAGCCGGGACTTGAACCAACACTCCGGTAAGGGAAGCCAGCGTCAATTGGTGGCTTAACCTGCTGTGTCACAATGCCTGCCCCATCACGATCTGGTTTGAATGAAAGATGAAGATGTGGAAAACAATGTTATATTGGCTAATTAAACTAGAAAGGTGGGTGTTACTTTTGTCTGGTGGTAAGTATGGCGCCTTGTAAAAAACTGGAGAAACAGAATTAAAAGTCAAGTGAGATCCATGCACAGGTTTTTCAAATGAATTTTCCATGAACTTCTTGAAGACCTCTGGAACCTTCACTGGCTCATGGATGCTGCTTTGTAAACTCAAATCTAAGAGGCTTATTTCGGAGCTTATATTCCTTTTAAGATTTCTTTTTATGTATTTGAAAGGCAGAGAGGGAGAGAGAGGGGGAGAGAGAGAGAGAGAGAGAGAGAGAGAGACTCCCTCACTTCTCAAATAGTTGTAACAGACCAGGCTGGGCCAGGCCAAAGCTAGAGCCTGGAATATAATTAGCATCTCCCGCACAAGTGACAGGGACCCCAGCACTTTGGGCCATCTTCTGCTGTTTTCCCAGGCACATTAGTAGGGAGCTGGATCAGAAGTGGAGCAGCCGGCACTCTGATGTGGGAATGCTGGCGGTGCTGCAAGTGGCGGCGTAAGCCACTTTGCCACAGTGTGAGCCCGTGGGCTCCTCTTTCTTTTTGTCCGTTCAAACCCTCTCCACCCCAGTGCACACGACCTTGGAAACCTCCCAAGCCCATTAGCACCACCTCTGCTCTTCCTTCCCTAGAGCTCCTGGGGCACTTAAGGGAGCCAGCGGCAGCCCTGGGGACTGCCCAACCTCCATCGGGAATTTAACCAGGGCGTGGTGTGGCTGGATGGCCGGCTCAGGCACTTCCGAACCCGCTCATGGCCGGGTGCATCATTCTGGAAAAGAGATCATGGTAGAGAACAGAGGCAAAAGCCCTACCGCTCGCTGGTCTCCAGTCTGTCTTCATCTGGTAACGCGTCCAGTGGGGTGGGGACATCCACAGGGAGCATCACCGAGTTGAAGGCGTCGGAGCTGTGGGAGAGTCACACAAGCGGCCCAGCGTGAACGACCACCTTAGCCATCCTGAGGTCTTTACGTAAGGTGCTTTGTAAAAAATTATTAGAGACACAGAGAGCGAGTGAGAGCCTGTTTCACTGCTCAAATGCCTGCAATGGCTGGGACTGGACCAGGCCCAAACCGGAAGCTGGGAACTCCATCTAGGGCTCCCACGTGGGGGGCTGCAACTCAGGCCACTTGAGCCATCATTTCTGCCTCCCGGGGTCTGCGCTAGCAGGAAGTGTCAGGAACTGGAGCTGGGACTGGTCCTCTGCTATGGGGCACGGGCAGACGCTCGGCCAGTTGCCCAGCCCCTGCAGAATCTTCCAAAGCATTCTTATGTTGCCACTGTTGAGGCCTCTCTGGCTCTGTCTTCCCTGTCCCCTGAAGCCCACCCCTGCTTCCTGAGAGGCATGGGCAGAGGCCGCGCCAGGCACCCCACAACCCCAGAAGAAGGGGGCTGGATGAGACCTCTTCTGGGGTGTAGAAACAGAACTTGCTGCTGGTAGTGCCAAAAATTTCATTTCCTGGTGGGGCGATTTAGGTGGTTCCATCTTGGCACTCAGAATTCTTTCCCCCACCTTTCTGCTCTTCTTGGTCATTTTGTTCAACTGCAAAATTTTCCTCCCAAGCCCTCACATACTGTTTGGTATTATAACTTTAGAGCTTCAGTGTGAGAGCTCCTGGGTATTAAATGAGAAGAGATGGGAGAAAAAACATTCCTATAGCAAAAGCTGGCAGCAGACTGTTTAAAGATGGAATGAGCATTGCTCTTCTGGTCCCAACTGCTTCCTTAGAGGCCTTCCAAGTGAGATGAAGGAATAAAGGATGGACTTGTGCAATGGCAAAGAGAACAGGACATGGCCAGCGCCGCGGCTCACTAGGTTAATCCTTCGCCTTGCAGCGCCGGCACACCGGGTTCTAGTCCTGGTTGGGGCACCAGATTCTGTCCCGGTTGCCCCTCTTCCAGGCCAGCCCTCTGCTGTGGCCAGGGAGTGCAGTGGAGGATGGCCCAAGTACTTGGGCCCTGCACCCCATGGGAGACCAGGAGAAGTACCTGGCTCCCGCCATCGGATCAGCGCGGTGCGCCGGCCGCAGCGCGCCAGCCGCGGCGGCCATTGGAGGGTGAACCAACAGCAAAAGGAAGACCTTTCTCTCTGTCTCTCTCTCTCACTGTCCACTCTGCCTGTCAAAAAATAAAAAAAAAAAAAAAGAGAGAACAGGACAAAGGATCTCAGTGGATAAGCATTTCCAACAGGGCTATGGGAGAAATCTCTAGAAGCCTGGGAGATCCAGAGTGCTGTCTCACGCAGGGGCAAGGGTGAGAACCCGGGCACCCATGGAGGGAGCTGGCCTTCGTGCCGAGTGTGACGCTGCAGGCTGTGGGGAAGGCCGGGGCAGGGATTGGGAAACCAGAGTCACCGAGGGCTCTGTTGCCTGTGCTTTGAGCAAAGACTCTTACTTTTGTTTTATTCTTGTGCCAAAAAGCACCTGTTCAGGGCCACTACTGCGGTGCAGCAGGTAAAGCCGCTGCTTGCCACGTCAGCATCCCATAGGAGTGCCCGCTGGAGTCCCAGCTGCTCCACTTCCGATCCAACTCCTTGCTAATGCACCTGGGAAAGCAGTGGGAGATGGCCCCAGTACTTGCGCCCCTGCCACTCACATGGAAGACCCGGATGGAGCTCCAGGCTCCTGGCTTCAGCCTGGCTCAGCCCTGGTTGTTGCAGCTATTTGGGGAGTGAACCTGCAGATGGAAGTGCTCCCACCCCACCCCCTTTTTCTTCTTCCTCCTCCTCTTCCTCTTCTCCTTCTTATTTTTCTTCTAACTCTGCTTTCCTAATACATAAATAAATCTTTTTTAAAAAATGCACCTGTTGGTCCATTATGGAGATTGGCTGTGAAAAGTCTGGCACCATGGTGTTTGCAGATGGACGAAAACAGGAGGAATACAGGTGTGAACTGACAGAGTGATGAAAGGAGATACCACCGGGTGAAAAAAGCAAATCAAAAAAGCCTCTCCACAGTGTCACATTTTATACAAGAAAGAAGGGGAAAGAAGAAAAATCCACTGATTCTGCTAAGCACCACAAACAGAGACAGGCAAAGGCAAATTAGCAGATCTGGCCGGTTACCTACAAGAGCAAGAGGGGAGGGAGTTGGGGGAGAGAGAGAGAGATGCTTCCCCAGGGGTGTCTTTTTGTGTAGTTCTGTGTTTGGGAAACTAGTTAGTGTCTGATATTTTATAAAGATCAAATTAAACCAATGAGGAAGGAAACCAGATCAGAAGGTGAATTCAAATGGAAACAAATCGTACTTGGCCCAGACTCCATAATTACAGCAAAGGGAGAAGAAAGAGAAGCAGAAAGCAAGACAGGAGGGAGAGCAGGGAGGACGGACCAGGGTGCGGGGTGGGGTGGGGTGGGGGAGGGAGGGGAACAGTAGGGGAGGGAGGGAAGGAAAGGAAGAACCCAAGTGAGTCAGCTGGCCGCTGGCTAATGGGCTGGCTCTGTGTGGGGCCACAACTTGCTCTCTTGCTACAGTGCCACTGATTCTGGAGATGCACTAAGAACAGGCTGGGTTTATTCTGAGGTGGAGCAGGTGAACAAGGCATAGATGAATTACTAAGAAAGGAGCTAATACGTTTGAGGGCCCATCATATCCCAAATCCTATGTGCATATTTGAGCTTTTTTTTTTTTAATATATTGATTTATTTGAGAAACAGTGAGACAACAGGGAGAAACGTTATCTATCTATCTATCTATCTATCTATCTTTCCATCCATCCATCCACCCATCCACCCATCCATCCCATCTGCTGTTTCACTCCCTAAATGCCTGCACCGGGCTGGGGTGTGGGACAAGGGTGTCCTTATCAGTGTCTTCCCTACTAGGCAAAATGCCCACCTTATATACTGGGTGCTTTTTGTTGTTGTTGTTTTAAGATTTACTTATTTACTTGAAAGGCAGAGTGATAGAGAGAGTGAGAGGTCTTCCATCTGCTGGTTTAGTCCCCAAATGGCTGCAATGGCCAGGTCTGGGCCAGGCTGAAGCAGAGCCAGGAATTACATCTGAGTTTCTTATGGGGTGGCAGGGACCCAAACACTTGGGTCATCTTCCACAGCTTTCCCCGGCTCGGTAGCAGGGAGCTGGATTGGAAGCGGGGCAGCCAGCTGGGACTCCAACTGGCACTCCTAAGAGATGCCAGCATCAGACAGCAGCTTAGCCCACTGCACCACAATGCTGGCCCCACCGGGTGCTTTTTCTCTCCTGCTAACCTCTAGGCAAAGGAGGGTGGCAGAGAAGCACTAAGGAAATGACCCCAAAAGGAATATCACACGGAGAAGTTTCTGGAAGAACAGCTTGCACTCGGCCTCATTTAGGAAGAGTTTTCCCTGCTGGCACTGACCAAGTGAGAGGAAGGCCCCAGGGTCCCAAAGTGGGTGCCGCCCGTCTCCTGTCAAACACCTGGGGAGAGGCAGGTGGCCGGGGAGTGTGCCTGGGGTAGCTTTCGTACTGTTACTAAAATGAAATGTCACATCTGAGCAGCCCGGGCACAACATGCCCAATCCCTAGTGACAAGGGGAGAGGCACGGACGGGCGACTGAGCAGCTCTGCTGAGGTCACACGGCCCTGCAGGGCGTGAGGCGGGCGTCCTTAAGTGGGTCTCCTGGTGAGAGCCTCGCGTTCCTGAGTCAGGCACGCAGGCGCACTAGTGGGAGTTGGGGCAGGGGGACAGTTACAGCAGCACCCACTCCCCCTCTGATTCCGGCTGGCGGCAGGGCTCAGGTTTCCTGGCTGTTCTTGGCCCCGCAACTGGGCTCAGACCTCACTCTGGGCCAGAAGATGTGCACTCAAGGTGACAGCTGATGACAATGTGTTGTGGGACGCTAGCCTTGTTTGCTCGCCAGCCAATCAGCCGTATGAGAGCACTTCAACAAGTTGGTGGGAAAATGGAGCTGAAAGAAAAGTTTGTTTGGGTGCAAAAGATTTTTGAAGTCTATGTATTTTTTGGTAATATGCATTTTTTTCATGAACTTTTGCAAGTAGCTGCATGGTTATATGGCCACTGAATGCAAGGCATCCCCACGGGTCAGGACCTGGCTAAATAAATGGCTCCGGGCTGTTCGATGCCTTAGGGCTCTGGAGGGATCTTACGCAGGCAAAGCAGCAGAAGCAGGGCCACTCCAAGAGTCCTCTTGTCCCCCAGTTTTCTCGCGCACTTGCTCTGTGTCTCAGGGTGGCCACGAGCCCACAACCAACTACAGGCTTGGTCTGAGAAGCCCTTAGAATTGGACATGGAGAGTGCATAAGGCTAATGTCAGAAATTCAGAAAATCTAAAAATTGACCCTGAACATTTCAGTGGAATTAACCAGATTGGTTGCCAACTTTTACTGGGGCGTTGCCAATCAGCCACGGGGGACGTTACTTTTGTGAAAAGCACTTCCATTAAGGTAAATTCAGAATAGGAAAATCAGTTCCACATCACCGTATTTTCTGAAGAGCAAACTGCCCTCATGCTCAGAGACAGAGACAGAAAGACAGAGAGACAGAGATCTTTCATTCACTGGTTCACTCTCCAAATGTCTGAAACAGCCAGGGCTGGGCCAGGTCAAAGCCAGGAGCTCAGAAGTCAATCCAGGCTCCCGCATGGCTGGCAGGGACCCAACCACTTGAGCCATCACCTGCTGCCTCCCGGGATACGCAGTAACGGGAAGCTGGAACGGGAAGAGGAGCTGGGACTTGAACCCACATTCCAATATGAGATGTGGGCATCCTACCCAGTGGCTTAGCTACTACACCAGACATCTGCCATCTCCCTCTCCCCCGCCAAGTTTTACAGGCATGACTTGACATGTTGGCATCTGCCTCTGTGAGCTGGGTAAACCCCCGCCCCCACTGTGAGACAGCCGGGCCTCAGCTTACCTCTGCGTCACCTCCAGCTTAGACCCATCCAGAAGGGAGGGGAGCACCAGCAGCGGGGACTGGAACTTCTTCCAATGCATGACTCCGGGAATGATGTCCTGCAATGGAAGCCAGCACAAAGGCGCTGCACGGGCAGGAACTGCTGGCTGAGGTCAATGTTTGGGAGAGATTTCCCTGTTAGGCAAATGGCGCCTCCTCAAGGTGCGCTCCAAAATGTACAAGGTCATTGTGCTTGAATTTTTCCAAAGCCAAAGGCCACTGGCCAAGGCAAAGGGAGGCAAGGTGGTTGGGCCCACCTGAATGAACACAGCTGGAATGAGCGCAGGGCCCGCGGGGCAAGCCAGGGAGCTTGGAGCCCCTCCCGCAGCAGCAGGAAGCCACCCAGGGTTTCTAGCACAAGATCAGATTTGTGTCGGAGGCCGAGGTCGACCCTCAAGTGGCTAGAATGTGAATGAAGGGCTTTGGGCGGGGCCTTCCAGGGGAATGAGTGACACAAGGCAGCCGGGAGCCCGAGAAGTGGGGATGGGTGGGATGCAAGTGGTGCTGAGGGTTTGGCTGAGGCGTGGGGACACTCGAAGTTGCTATGGCTATTCTTGCACAAGTCTTGCCCAGCCGTGCCCCTTTAGGGCTGGTCGTTGTCACCATCGGTGTCCTCAGTCCCGACCCTCCCCCTGACCTTGCCCCCTGCCTGCAGCCCAGGGCCGGCTCTGCCAGGCTGCGTGGAGAGGGCATTACCGTGTGGTGGAGAAACTGCTTTTGGGTGAGAGGAATGCTGGACCCGTCGTGGGACTCCTTGGTGAACTTGTACTTGGGGTGACAGCAGAGATGGTAATCTATGAGTGTCTCCACGTAGCTCAGAGGGTGCATGACGGCAAACAATCCAGGGTTGGGGTTCTGCAGGGGAGGAAGTAAAGGATTCTTTTCTGCATAGTGGTTCCTAAGCCAGGCCCGACTCTGTGGCTCCCACCGGCACTAATGCTCCCGGTGGGCTCATCGGGGAGACAGAGGCAGGACGGCAAGATGGCAGTGCTTGGAAGTGTCTCTTCCCATGTCAGTGCCAAGTTTCTGGCTTCAGAGCTTCACTCACAACGAGTGGGTTCACTAAACCTACATGGGAACACTCGGGACCCACAGCGCAGCTTAAAATGGCCCAGAGTGTCTGTTTTTTCCAGCCACGACGAGTTAGCAGGAACTATTAAGCAAGCATACTGGTTTTAAAGAGCAAATAAGCTTCTGGTTTTGAGAAGGAAAATAGCTTCTTCGGAACTACTTAAGAGAAGACAAAGGGGACAGTGACATCTGACATCAGGAAATGTCAACATTTAACTTTGTTTGGGTAATGTTTTTTAATTCAGGAAGGTTCCATTCGGATGTGGTGTCTGGTTTTAAGGGAGATGCTGTTTTTCAACTAATTTTCCAGCAGAGCTAATGGAGGCACAGAACAATTATATCAAAATATTAAAACAGAGAGCCTGCGCACCAAACACAAGTACTCTTGCCCCAAGCAACATAGCTTTCTCCCCACACACTATTTGATCTTGGATGGTGAAGAACCACCAAGCTGAGACTTTGTTGTTTGTTTGAATGTTTAATAATTTTGTAAAGTTTATTTATTTGAGAGGCACACAGGGAGCGAGAGAGAGAGACAGACATTTGGTGCAGATTCAGGCCTGAGCGTTTCACAGTGGGGATGCCCCTGCTCAGTGACGGGGCCTTTACAACTTGAGTTTCAGATTGCTGCTGGTACAGGGGTGGTATCCTGTGTCCTGCAATCTCATTAAACTCACTTACGAGTTTTAGTGATTTTTTTTCTTTTGGTATGTTCCACTGTATGAGGGTATGTCAAAAAGTCTGTGGGAAGATGGAATTAAAGGAGTTTATTTTGGTGTGAAAATGCCTTGCTGGGAAGGAATTCAGTCATCTGCCACTCAGTTTGATGTTAGCTCTAAGGCTTTAAAATATTCATATTTACTGATTCGCTTTATTTAAAAGGCAGAGGGAGAGAAACAGAGGGGGTGGGTGCCCTTGTATCTGTCCACTCCCCAAATGCCCACAATAGTGGCGCTGGGCCAGGCTGAAGCCAGGAGCCAGACACTAAATTGGGGTCTCTCACATGGGTGGCAGGGACTCAACTACTTGAGCCATCACCTGCTGCCGTCCAGGATACGTTAGCAGGAAGTAGGAACAGGAGCGGAGCTGGGACTTGAACCCAGGTACTCTGATTTGGGATGTGGGTGTCTTAACAGCAGTTTCTTAACTGCTGCTCCAGCTCTAGCATTTGGATAAATGCCATTTGTCAGGTTGAGAAAGGTCCCTTCTGTCCCTCACCGGCTGGGAGAGTTGGTCAGGAACAGATGTCAGAGATAATTTTCCTGTACCTACTAATATGATCCTACTGCTTTTCCTGTTTGGTTTGTTAATATGGGAACGGCATTGTCGGGGGTAGGGGGGGCTTTGAATGCTAACTTTATATGGAGTCTTGGCAGAAGCCTTGGCTTGCTTATGATACATTGTTCTATTATCTATTATGATGGACTTGACTTGTTAATACTTTGTTACAAACTTTTCATCTGTGTTTATGCAGGATACCGGAGTGTCCTTCCTTTTCCGGTCATGTCTGTCTGGCTTTGACAGCAGAGTAATACTGGCTTTGAGAATGTGTTGGGAAGTTGTCTCTCTTCCATTTTCTGGAAGAGTTTGTGTGGTCTTGGTATTATTTCTTCCTTAAATGTTTGGCAGAATTCTCCAGGAAAGTCCTGAAAATTTCTTGGTTGGAAGGTTTTCAACTACAAATTCAATTTCTTTAATAGACAGAGAGCTATTTGGATTATTTATCTCCTCTTGATATTTCAGAATTTGTGCTTTTTATGGACTTGTGCATTTATGCTGGTGAACTTACTGGCATCAAGGTTTTCATAACAGAAATTGTCTTTCGAATTTCTGCAGAATTTGTGGTGCCGAGCCGGCGCCGTGGCTCAATAGGCTAATCCTCCACCTTGCGGCGCCGGCACACCGGGTTCTAGTCCCGGTTGGGGTGCCGGATTCTGTCCCGGTTGCCCCTCTTCCAGGCCAGCTCTCTGCTATGGCCAGGGAGTGCAGTGGAGGATGGCCCAGGTGCTTGGGCCCTGCACCCCATGGGAGACCAGGAAAAGCACCTGGCTCCTGGCTCCTGCCAGGATCAGCGCGGTGCGCCAGCTGCAGCGGCGGCCATTGGAGGGTGAACCAACGGCAAAGGAAGACCTTTCTCTCTCTGTCTCTCTCTCTCACTGTCCACTCTGCCTGTCAAAAAAAAAAAAAAAAAAAAAAAAAGAATTTGTGGTGCCAACCATCTTTCTCATTCCTAATATTGGCAATCTCTGTCTTTTACCCCGTTTTCCCCCTGATCAGTTAGGTTAAAGGGTTATCCATTTATTGATCTTCTCAAAGAACCAGTTTTTTTTTTTTTTCTCTATTGCTTTCTTGTGTTTTCTATTTCACTGGTTTTCAATCTGATCTTTATTATTTCTCTTCTTTGCTTAGCTTGGGTTTCATCTGCTCTCTCTTTCCTCATTTCTAAGAGAGATAGTTTAGGACATTAATCTGAGATGTTTCTTCTTGTCTAATGTAGGCATATGGTGTTTCACGGAGGCACTACAAAAAGTTCATGGAAAATGTAATTAAAATATAACGATAAAAAAACACAAACTTTATTTCTCGACATCAGCTCTGTCCAGTCCAAGACGCTTTTGCAAGTGTTGATATCAGCCACTCACACCATCCCTAAAGAACTGAGGGTCCTGGGAATTTAACATGTTGATGTAGCCTTCTTCTTCTTTTTTTTTTTTTTTAAAGATTTATTAATTTGTTTGAGAAACAGTTAGAGAGAGGGAGGGAGGAGGGAGGGGGTTGGGAGGAAGAGAGAGAGAAAGAGAGAACTGATTCTTCCCAAATGGCTATAATGGCTGAGGTTGGGCCAGGCTGAAGCCAGGAGCCTGGAACTCCATCCTAGGCTCCCATGTGGGTGTCAGGAGCCCAAATTCTTGGACCATCTTCTGCTGCTTTCCCAGGTGCATTCACAGGGAGCTGGATCAGAAGTGGAACAGCCAGAACTTGAAGGGACGCCCATACAGGCTGCTGGCACTGCAGGTGCAGGCTTACCCTTCTGTGCCACAGTGCTGGCCCTGTTGTGTCCTTAACGTCTAAGACTAGAATCTGTTCAACTATATTATAATGGGTTAGGAGGAGTTCATTTTCATGCAGAAAACCAAGTCTCAAATCCATGCATAGATTTTTTTCATAGGAGACGTTTTCCATGAACTTGTTGAAGAACTTATTGTAAATTCATCACAAATTTTGCTTTGCCTTTATTTTCATTCAGTTAAGACCACTTACTCATTTCTCTTTTGACTTCTGCCTTGGTCTATATGTGCATATTATATATAGTTAGAAAAGATCACACAGCTTTTGTCATAAAAGCAAATGTTGAAATTGTTAAGAGACAGAAACATTGGTATCTTCCAAACAATAGATACTGGCAAGCTATTTCCAAGGTGATACAGCGCTTAAAGCCTGCAATTCCAAAGGGAAGGCATGTTCCCAGGGAAGGCTTCTGTTTCTTATAGGGTACCTGACAAAACAGGGGAACATAGCCCACCAGGCTCCGGCCAGGCGCTACTTACAAACACGTAAAGTGGGTCATACTCCACGGACATGGCTAAGGCCTCGGGCGGCTTCATGCTCAGGACTGAGGGCATGCCAGAGGGCGTGGCCACACTGTCCTTCTTGGGAAGGGCTATGATGGTGGTGGCTTCGTCCTGCATGGGGACCAAGAGCAGTGTGTTGATACTGGGGCAGGAAGGCAGCGGCGGGAGCGGGTCTCGGCGCTGGGGGACCCCTCCTACCTCAGCTCCTTGCTTCAGGGGCCGCGGGAGCTTCTGAGACCTGTAGCTTGTGTAAGACTTGTGGACAGAGAACGGCTGGTAGCCTTTAATTTTGTAGAGTTGAGGAACCTGCAGGCCGAAGAAGACACGGGGTGTCTTTGAAAGCCTGGCTTCTACCTCTCAACCATGGCCTTCTGGGAGCTGTCTGGTGGTAAGAGCGCAGCACAGGCCGTGTTGGCAGTGGTGCTGGGCAGATCTCAGTGCCAGCCCTGAGCCCTGTTCCGGGGCCACCCACACATCTGTGTTCATGGCTCCCCTCCCTCACCGGACAGCTTAGCTGGAGAAATACTTTCATTTAAGAAACCAGAAGTGCTCATGGACCTCAAGAAAGGCTGACTCTTGTTCACTTCCCCCTGGGTTTTTCTTGACGAGTCTAAGTGTGTTGCTCAGACAGCTTAATGTGTGTGCAAAATCTGACAGGTGCCCAGAGTAAAGATCCTGGATTCCATAAGCCACAATAGGAAAATAGAGTCGGCTGCACCTCCCACATTCCATACAATAACAGTGCACGCACACACACACACACACAAACATGACAACGCAATCCAAGTTCAAGATTGCTCCCTTCGTAGGAAATCCAAGTAACTAATACTACACAACAAGCCTGACCTGCAAATTGAAGAAGGAGTAACTCTGCTTGATTTGAATATCTGAGGACTTAATTGGGACCGGTCCAAGGCCATCAGGAGCCTACAATGTGCAAGTTGAAAGAAAAATCAAAAGGGGGCAGATGATCAACACAGAGCAAGGACAGTCAGGCACCTGCTCCCATTACGTTTTGAAACATTCAGGGAGCAGTTGTCTGCCAGCCGCCCGCAGGTGGCCTGGAGGCAGCCCCGCCGCCCCACCCGGATGCCCTTTAGTGCATGTGAGTCTTGTTTTTTTTATTTCCTATGGCTGTGAACTTGGCAATGTGTCAGCCAGAGCGCCCCGCAGGCTCAAAGGACTTGGTCCCCCAGCCGCCAGGGGTCCGCTTGTTAGAAAGAGCCCTCTCCAGGGGCTGCACAAGGTCACGGGCCCCTCCCAGGCAGACGGCAGTCAAGGTGCAAATGCTGGCTCTTCTCACGCTGTGCCAGCTTCACAGGGCCCCTGGGCTCAGCGGAGACCTTCGCCGAGATGGGTTGCAGCACTGCTTCTCTCTTGTCCATCCCACCCCCTCTGCTTGCTTCTAGCACCCGTCCCTGGTGTGCTCCCAAGACGCTCCCTGCATGCTAAGCTGCCTCCGACACCCAGGGCACCTGGCATAGCAGGGGCCTTCAATCCACACAGTACCCCACTGAGTGTGAGACATCACCATTTGGTTACTTCGGGGCAAGGTCAGTTCTAAGTTCCCAGCTTCAAAGGTGCTGAATGTAGAAGACCGTGCATCTTAGCAGTCAACACAGAAGTCAACAGCTCCCCCCAGCCCTGACCAGCGGGGGTGTCTCAGCAGTGCTATGTGTCGGCTTCGCCCTCTGCAGAAATACCGAGGCGGCCCCAGTGGCACAGTGGAGAGCTTCGCCCATCACCCCCGGCTCCCTCCTCATTACCGAGTGTCAGACACTTAATCCTGCTGGGAAACCACAGGCTCACTAGTCCCCAGGGTCGGAATATTCTGGATGTCTTTACATAATTTAATTACTGAGAGCAGCAAACACATGCAGTTTCTGAATTCGGGCCCATGATTTCGGAATGGAGTAAACTGACATGCTTCACAAATATGGTAGGACGTGAATGGCAAGTTTATTCTTTGAAGTTAGCAAACTCATTTTGCTTGCAGTCATGGGTGCACTGAGTGATACTTTGGTATTACCGCCTTTTTGGCCTTGTGCCTCAGTTTCCCTATCAGTGAAAGAAGAAACCTTCTTACTGGCTTATTGAAGACTAAATGCGATGATGCAAGGCACTGCCTGCTTTATGGTAAATGCAATGTGAGGGTTCATTATTTTTATTAGCATGCGCCCTAAAGCATAAAAGGATGAGTTGTTACATGGAGAGAGAGAGAGAGAGAGAGAGAGAGAGAGAGAGAGAAGTGGAACTGTGAACCCGATGGGTCAGATAGTCAGATTCTGGGGCGCACTCCTTCCCTCGTAGGTCGTGAGGAGCTCTGAAGATGGTACGGTGTGAGAAGAGTCTGCATTCGCGCCTTGACTGCCTTGTCACTGGGGGCGGGCTGCCTGGGAGGGGCCGTGACTTTGAGGTCCTGTGCAACCTGGAGAGGGCTGTATCTAACAAGGGGACTCTTCCCGGCTGGGGGCCAGGCAGCAGAAAGCCCAGCTGAGCAGAGCCTGTCTGCTACCTGCCAGCGGCCAGCCCAGCCGTCTGGGTTCACCTCTTTGCCCTTCTGTTCTCAGGCCCAGCTGCAGAGTGAGGGATGGGGCTCAGCACTCAGGCTGGCCCAGGCTGGAACGGACCCAGCCCAGGCTGCCAGGGAGCCCTGCGCAGGTGTGCAGCAGGTGCAAGGCAGGTGGAAGAGATGAGCTCTGGCTTCCCACCCTCATAATTCCCTCAGCCAGGACTCTCCTGGGAGTCTCTAGGAGGAGGTGGGCACACTGAGAGGGAGGAAGGGCTTTTCCAACAATCTCCCAACAGCCCCATGCTGGCGCCCAGCCCCGCCCCACAGCCTGGCGGCACCCACCAACTCATTGGAGTCCTGAGCAGGGCTGTAGGCCGGGAAGGCGAAGGGCAGCACCTCGTGTGGTGACACTGAGAACCGGCTGCAGTAATCGTCCTGGCCCAACCCGGGCAGGGACTTGGGGGGAGTCCTGTCTTTGGGAGAAAAACGAAACAGTATTTTAGGAGGCTTGTCAGGGATTTTTATGTAAAAATGCCATCTTTAGTTGCAGGTCTGCCTCATGTCATGTCAAAAACAATATTCGTCTTCACATACACACTGGAGCTTCAAAAGGTTCACGGGAAAATCACATTAAAAATAAGTTTATTGGGGCTGGCGCTGTGGCACAGCGGGTTGGAAGCCCCAGCCTGCAGTGCTAGCATCCGATATGGCACTGATTCACTGGGATTTCTTCCAACAGTGAAGTCAGTGCGAGATGAAAAAGGTGTCCCTATCCCCCTCGCCAGAACCTGTGACAAGGACTTGGCAGGTGTGGCTAGGTCATGGGGAGATGGCTCTGGGTTGTCCAGGTGGGCCCCGTGGGGTCACAGGGTCCCTGTAAGAGACAGGGAGGGGGCACTTGGAGTCAGGAGGGAGATGTGTCTGGGGGCTGAACCTCAGGATTGCAGTGATGTGAGGGAGGGGCCGCCAGCCAAGGAGCACCGGCTGCCTCAGTCCCCCAGCTGCCCGCACCCAGGCAGAGGTCAAGACCTTTGACCTGTAACTGTGAGACAGACGAATGTGTTGGTTTAGGCCACGACCAAGTGGTGATCGGGTCCTGCAGTACTAGGAAGCTGAAGCATGCGATCTGTGAGAATGGTTTACTTCTCCCCTGCTAACTTCCTTATAAAAGACCCCTGTGTCAGGGTCAGGGCTGGTCCCAACCCCGCTGCCCTTCCCAGCCGGCTCTGTTACCTTTGTCTAGGGAAGCTTTTTTATCGCTGAGTTTTCTTATGATGCTCTCCTTGTCCATTTCTCGAACAGCGGTGAGCATGCAAAGCAGTCGTCGCTGAACCATGACCTGCGGGTGCACGGGAGAAGGACTTCCGGTCATGGGCTGGTATAGGCTTAGTTGGACCATCCCTCTTATTCTGTCCCCACCCCTTGGCCCCTACAAAGGGTTGAGACCACCGTTCTAAGAATTCACAAGTCGGCTGGCATGCTGCCTGAGACCCAGCCTCAGAATAATAATAACAATAATAATAATAATAATGAGACCAGGCTGTCATGAGGCCTTGTCTCCGCCCAACTTTGAACCCTGTTTTTCTCCTATTTCCAGAACAGAGTGATCTGTTCTATGCGTGTTCTTCTGGGTCTCTGTAGAGCAGTCCTGTTACCGCTGTGCTATTTTGGGGGTTGATGGACAAGCAACAAGGGCTGTGGACGACGGGCAGTGCCAATGCACACCATTGAGCTTGGCGCTCATGGCGACAGGACCCCAGGTGAGTGCCACAGGTACACAGGGCTGCGGCTGAGGGCCTCATTCGCTATGGGAAGTCACGTCCTTCTCCACGGAACAATGGGTAGGGGCTTAAAAAAAAAGACTTCACGGCAAAATGGAATTCAAACGTTTATTTTGGTGTGCAACCCTTGGAAATCCACATCTCGTTGGTGTTTCATAGCGTGCGTGTTCCATGCCCTCGGTGAAGACGCCATCTGCACTATGAAGCGGCTCCCCTGGGCTCAGTGCTGGGCGGGGCGCTGCACGCACAGAGTGCGGAGCAGACACGCACCCTGCTCACAGCAAGCACCCAAATGAGTAAACAAGGCAGACCGTGTGAAGAAAACAAGGACAGAATAAAGGCACGGGGGCAGGGCACAGCGGGCTAGAACTGCCCACCTCTGCAAGGAGGAAGAGCGAAGGCCTCTCTGAGCGGTGAGCTCCGACCTGGACACTGAGCGGTGAGGCGCCAGGTCGATGATGGAAGGCAGAAGTGAAGGGGGTGTGCTTACGGCAAAGAGGAAGGCGGCGCCCTAGCAGCAGGAAATCTGTGCCTTTTGCCATCAGAAACCTTTGGAGGGTTCCAGACTTCACAAAAGTGTGTGGAAAGTGGGAGTTAAGCTAAGCTTATTTGGTTGCAAAAAATGCTTGAAATCTATGCGTGCTTGCCCGCCCCCATAATACATAAGCATTTTTCATGCGCTTTTGAAGGCCCCTTGTGGGCATGGATTTCAACCGTTTTTTGGCCAAAATAAACTTGTCTTTAATTCTCTCTCTCAGGACATTGTTGGAGTCCCCTCGTGTGGACACACAGGACGGATGGTCCTTGCCGTGGCACGTGAGGAAGGGGTGGGGCCGTCGCTCAGAACCACGCCCATAATTGCTGACACCACTTGCTCCTGGCTGGAGGGTTCACCTGCCCATGGCGACTTCCTGCTGGCGCCTGCTCCCTGTCAACAGCTGTGCCTTCCTCCCTTGGAACGCAGCATTGTGCCACCTCCTTCCACCTTGTTCACCCCTACCCTGGGCATCTTGGGGCTGCCCCGCCCTGCCCATCACCAGACCATGGGGGCAGAACCTCAGGAGGGGCACTGAGGGGTGGTGAGAAGGAAGCCCCAGGTGCAGCGGCCTTGGATGGAGCAGGCTGGGAGGGCTGCTTGAGGCGTAACCTGGACCCCACACCTCCGCTCACTCGCTCGCTCTTCACAACAGCCCGAGCTGACAGCTCCTATTGGTCCCTTTCAGTGTCCAGACAGCCAACTACAGCACGGGGGGCTACGTCACTGCCCAAGAGCGGAAGGGTCGTAAGAAGCCTCCTCAGCACAGAGGGCAGCGTCTGGGGAGCCACACTCGGGCAGGGATGAGAGATCTGCAGGCGGCATGGGGCGGCAGGGGCTTCGAGGAGACCCCCCGAGTGCTACAGCCGACAGGGACGGTTTCCTGGAGGAATGGGAGCCTTGAGCCAGTGCACAGGACAGGTGTGGGCCCAGGGAGCAGAAATGGTGGGAGGGCAGCAGTTGGAGGGTGAGGAGCAGGAACACAGGGTCATGGTAGGAAGCGAGTATGACATGCTTAGGAGACGACAAGGGCTGGGACAACCTACGGGACGGTGGGCAGCTGGGGAGGCAGGGCCAAAGCTGGTCCAGGGGGTCACCCCCTGCCCTTTACTGGCATGTGAGGCCTAGGAGTCTTCATTGGATCCTGTGGACACCAGGGCTGGGATGGTATGGGCAGCAAAGCAGGGGGGCAGCGCCTCCAAGGATGGAGACGCAAGCCCCCAGGAAGCCTCAGCTTCTGTCTCTGGAAAGAACTGAGCAAAATCCCCTGGCCCAGGAGGGACCCTGTGACCCAGCAATCCCGCTCCTCGGCGCACACTCCCAAGGGAATTGCAAACTTGGATACCAGCACTGACAGCCAAAAGATGCAAGTGGATGCCAAGTGATGAGTAGATAAAGCCAACGTAACACATCCAACAACGGAATCTCAGCCGGCCATCAGAAGGAACAGGGGGCGCATCCAGGCTGCCATGCGGGTGGACTGGGAGAATTTGTGACGTGAAAGAAGACGGGTGTTGCATGATCGCATTTTATATGAAATTCCCGGAATAGGCAAACCCTCAGACACACCACGTGGAGCGGTGGCTGCCGGGGTCTCGGGGGAAGAGGGAACGAGGAGTGACCACTGATGGGAACTGAGTTTCCTCGTGAGGGGTGATGGTGGCACCGCTCCGTGAAGACCCTGAAAATGACCGGACTGTACGTGTCACAAGGGCGTGTTGTGTGAACTGTTTCTCAACAAAGACGTTGTTTCAAATACCCTGGTTATCTGATTTGCTTGTGCTGATAACTAGAGAAATCCAGACTTCGGCCTGCAGTGGAGACTCACCTTGCGTGCTGCCTGTTGAAAGCGTCTCTGAGCCCGGAACCTGTTGGCCCAAGTATTATTGATGAGTGGATCGAAATTGGGATGGAATTCCTTGGCCTTCTGTGGATACAAAATACAGGCACATCACGCACTGAAATGTTAACCTCTGGCATCACCGTTTAATAAAGACCCGTTATGCTTTCATCCCTAATGAAGCCAGCATTTATTTGTTCTGCTGTTTAGTGAGTACTTACTAAGCACTTTAAGTGTACCTGGCTTTATGAGGCATGTTTCTTGAGTTGGGGAACAGAAGTGAGAGATGCCAGTTTTGGGGTGGTGCTGTGGCGTAGAAGGTTAAGCCTCTGCCTGCAGTGTCAGTATCCCATAGGCTTTCCCTGCTAATGCACTTGGGAAAGCAGCAGAAGATGGCCCAAGTGCACGAGCCCCTGCACCCACGTGGGAGACCTGGATGAAGCTCCTGGCTCCTGGCTGTTGCAGCCATGTGGATGGAATCTCCCCCCGCCCCCCATCTCTCTCTTTCAAATAAATAAATGTTTAGGGGAGATGGGCAGATGGAGTGGGGAAGCTGCCCCAAGTTGCAGGCTCTGTGGGATGTTGGGCATTGGCAGGGCATGAAGAAGCAGGGGTCGGAAATGAGGCGGGCTCACGGCGGCTCGCGCAGGGGGCGAAGGGGAAGGGAAAAGGAGACCAAGGGGGAGGATGCAGAGCGCGAGAAAGGAGGTGGCAGGGCCGGCGCTGTGCTGTGGTGAGCTAAGCCTCTGCCTGTGGCACTGGCATCCCATATGGGTGCTGGTTGGTGTCCCAGCTGTTCCGCTTCCCATCTAGCTCTCTGCTATGGCCTGGGAGAGGACCAGAGGATGGTCCAAGTGCTTGGGCCCCTGCACCCACATGGGAGACCTGGAAGAAGCTCCTGGCTCCTGGCTTTGGATGGGCCCATCTGGGGAGTGAACCAGTGTATGGAAGACCTCTCTCTCTCTCTCTCTCTCTAACTCTACTTCTCAAATAAAATCTTTAAAAAAAAAAAAAAAGAAAAAAGAAAGGAGGATCCAGTGAATGAGACATTCTCAATTTCCAGAGGCACACTGTGAGTTTCAAATATACAATAAAAAACAAACAAAACCATTCTGAAAATGTAAGCATATTGCAAACTATTGGTTATCTCTTGGCAAAAAGATTTCTATAAACATTTTTTAGCATTAGAAAAATAAGCACTGAAAGAGCTGCCAATAACGGGATTCCCAACAAAGCCAAGTCACCCACCTCTTGTAGATTGTGCACCACCCGTTTCAGGCTCACTTCCGTCTTGAGTCGCTGGAATTCCTCTTCCAAAATGGGATCTCCTCTATCTAGCTGAGGTTTCAAATCATCAAAAGCATTAGAGTTGAATACAAAGGCATCGAACTTTCTCTCTGGAACTGGTAGAGAGCCGCGGAGCAGGTGCGCAAGCTGCTGACAGGGTTCCGGCCGTGAGCTGTGCACGTAGGCAGTGCAGTAGGCATACAGGTAGCCCAGCAAGCTCAGGCGATGCTCAGCGCGCTGCCTGCTTACACGCAGGGCCTTGCGTGGCAGCACCGACCCCACATCCGCTTTTTCTAACTAGAGGACAGAGTGCATGGAAACCATTTTCAAGGCATTTAAAATCCACAGACAGGATTTTAGGGTGTCAAGAAACTACGGCAGTCTAAAGAGATGGATTCCATTGGGAAGGAATTTAATGTCCCCGGGGAAGCTCCGCCCAGGGTTGGTCATCTGAGCATCAGGTGGCGACTCTTCCCCACCTCCTGGAGAGGCTGCAGGGTCTTTGGGGCCTGGAAGGCGATCTGTCCCTTCCCTGGAGAAAGTGTCCCCAGTGCCCTCCCTCCCCAACCGATGGCCCCCGGGGTTCCCTTCCCTGTTCCCAGCAGCCACTGAGAAGCTGTTCCGGATTTAACATTGTCGGCTGAATCCCTTCTGTAAAAAGCGCGTCATTTTCAAGGCTTCGAAAGGTTTGTGCAACAAAAATGGAATTAAAAGATCAGTGTATTTTGCTGCATTTTTGAAACCCAGGCGCAGTTCTTTCATAAAACTGCATCTTCTGTGCACTTCTGGTAGACCCCTGGTCTGCAAGGATTTCCCAATGTGGGGCAGCAAAATGAACTAAGTTCCTCGCATATTCCGAGGGCTGTCTTCCTGTAGCAGGGACCGCTCTTTCCCTCTGTCCCCAGCTCCGTCTCTCAGCTTCCAGCCCTGGGCCTCATGCCTTCCGGGTGCTCCTTGCTACTGCGCCACCTGCTCGGACTCAGCCGCCAGAGGAAATCCCCTGGACACACAGAGGAGGGCCCCTGCAACCTGTGACTGCCCCTGTCATCCAAGTGCTGCTACCACAGCCCCCTCCCCCTCCCCGCCCCCCGCTCACGTGGATCTGGTCCCGGGCATGTGCACGGCCACTCCACCTTTCAGAAAGTTAGGAAATAGCATTCTGTGGTGGGACGGACAGACAGTTCTTGATACTCTGGTCTCAGGTAGCCTGTAAGGAATCTGAGCCGGCTAAATCTAAGCAGCAACCTGACATCTGCCTTTTCCTAACGCAACATTGCTAACATAATGACCTCACATTCTTTGGTTTGACTTACGGAAGACAAAGAAAAAAAGGAGATTGATTTATTCAAGTTTCTGGTTTGGGCTAGAAGGAAGAGAACTGTATCCCACGTGCGAAACACTCCTCTCTGAGGATTCCGCTTCCATCCAGTGCCCCCTACGCACACAGCTCCTAATGAAGCCGAGAGACCTGTGGGATGGGCTGAAATGTGTCTGCCCCCAGCCCAGGGCATTCAAACGTGGAAGCCCCACACCCCAGTACCCATCTCGGAGTGGAGACAGGATCTTTACAACGGTGATCAAGTTAATAAGACAGTGTTCCAGTGGGTTCTAATCCCGTATGACAGCTGTCCTGAGCCTAACAGGAAATTTGGATTCCGAGACACATACACACACACACACACACACACGCAAGAAGGCGGTTATCTGGAAGCCAAGAGTCCAGCCTTGGAAGAAACCAACACTGCCCACCACCCGCTGACCTCTGAAATTGCGAGATTACTAAGTGCGAGCTGTTTAAGCCTCCTGGCCGGGGGCGTTTGCTGCAGCAGCCCGTGCTGACTCCAGTGTGATGATTCTGCACATCGTTGTCCAAACGCCCAAGACGCTGAGTGCTGGTGCTGTCCTAGCTCTTCAGCTCCTACATGTCTCGTGTTTCATCTTCTATGGACTTGGCCCTGGTGCCCTCTGCCCTCGCCCTGCCCGGAAACATCCAACAGCCCTCAAGCCAGGCCAGGCCATGGGGTTGCTCAGTGCCACAGTTCCCAGCCCCGAGCCTGCGGGTGCTGCCGTGGTGTCCCGGGGCCAGCCCCTAGCAGTGTCTCTGACGCGGGACCGGGGACCGGGGCTCCCATCAGCAGACAGTGGGGCAGCAGCACAGCCATTCCAGAATCCCAGCGGGAATCTGAGCCACTCTCTGGGCGTGAATGCTCTCTTCCTCTTTACGACTTTTCCCGATCACATCAGGGGCTCCTCGCTGGCTTCTGGGTCCTCAGGATGCCGAGTGAGTGCAGGTCCCAGCCTTGACTTGTGGGTGGCGACTGCAATTATCATCTGCCGCCTCCTCTCCCAACTTACCTCCAAGCTTTCTCCCTCCCGATCTGGCATTTCGCCTATTTTAAATATTTAGATAAGTAGGTGGCAATTCTTACCTTATATTTGTTGTACGCTCTCTGCCGCTCCTCAGTAAGCTCTTTTCTAATTTTAAAAGACATATGATCTTTGCCAAGGTGTACCTGCCTGGGGAGAAAAAAGGAAAAAGCGACTTTCAGAAGCCACGGGAATACCACCGTTCACTGTGCCTCCACAACCAAAGAGGGACGCTGAGATGAGAGGGGACTTCCAAAAGCTCATGGAAAAATGGAATGAACAGCTACACTTAATTTGCTGCAAACAGTTTTGAAATTCATGTACTGTTTTTTCCCATAATACTCATTTTCCAGGAACTCTTTGAAGACTCTTCCTGTTGGAGGAAATACGATGAGGGAGAGAAATTGTGGCGACTTCAGCGACATACCTAAGACGGGCCATGTGCCCCACAAGACGAAGCTTAACTTCCAGGGGTACACACAAAAATTTTTAAAGATTTATTTATTTATTTGAAAGTCAGAGTTACACAGAGAGAGGAGAGGCAGAGAGAGAGGTCTCCCATCCGCTGGTTCACTTCCCAGTTGGTATCTGGAGCCAGGAGCCAGGAGCTTCTTCCAGGTCTCCCACGTGGGCGCAGGGGCCCAAGACTTGGGCCATCTTCTACTGCTTTCCCAGGCCATAGCAGAGAGCTGGATCAGGAGTGGAGTAGCCGGGACTCAAACTGGCGCACATATGGGATGCTGGCACCGTAGGCAGTAGCTTTTTACACGCTACGCCACAGCACCGGCCCTGCCAAAATGTTTACGAACAAAAATATCTGGACGCACAGCACCATTGGACATTATGGAAAAGCACAGCAAATAAACGTCACACCTACTAGGTAGGCTGTGATGATGAGGACAGTAACAGAGACGAAGAGGCACTGGTGAGGATGTGGAGAAATGAAGACCCCCACATATGCTACTGCGAGGCAGGTAAAACGGTTTCCGGGGCCTCTGGGGAGCAGGGAACAGTGGGTGACTGTGTGTGGGTCTGAGGTTTCTTTGCAATGAGGATGGTGTTCTGGAATTTGGAGGTGGTGAGAGTTGTACACACTCTGAACACACCAAAAACTCTGCACTACACACTTTAAGCTGGCTAAAACAGTGAATTTTAACAGAATCTTAAAAAGAATCTGCTATGAATGTATCCCTCATGGAAACCAGCTCATGTCCCAAATAAACAGTAGTTGTGACATTAAAAGTGGGCAGTGTGTGTGTCCGGAGAACTGCTTTAGATGACAGGAGACTCAAGAGACAAAAAAACCAAGTACAAACTGCAGGATACTTCATCAGACCCTGGTCCCTGGGTCTTAGCAAACCAAAAACCTCAGGGTACAAAACACATTCTCGCACACCTGGGTAAATTTGCGTGTTGACTGGCTCAGTGTGACATCTCGTGGCAGTGAGGACAGTAACACCAGACAATGTCCTTGTCCTTAAGAGCTACATGCTTAAGTGCTTGGGGGCGAAGCTTCCTGACATCCCCGGCTTGCCTCAAGGGGCTCAGGAAGGGAAGATGCGGGTGTACATGTGTGTGCATGTATGTGTATATCCATGTGTATATGGGTGTATGTATTTGTGTGTGTGTGTTTGCCCATGTGTATATATGTGTATTTGTGCATGCATGCATGTGTATGCATGTGTGTGTGTGTGTGTTTCCTGAGTAAGCAGAAGCACCTGGGGCCTAGTGTTAACTAGGTCCACTGTATAAGGGAGTTATTGCAGGTTTAAAATCTTTCAACATGAAAAGGAAAGGTACTCAGTGAACACCACCACGTTCAAAATGGGATTTAGGAGGTGATTCCGAGCACGTTACAAAGAGAATGCAGGAAGGACACCCGAGTTACCAGGGGGTCACTGTGGAGTGGTGACATCACAGAGCTGTCTGTCCTCCCGCTCTGTGCTTGAAAAGCTATCTTCTCGGGTTTCCTGCAATGGCAATGGATCAGTTTTTCATGAAGGCAAAGGCAATTCTAGAATCTTCAGTTCCTTGCATGATTTCTCACTTACCAGAGGCCAGACCAGGAACACACAGAGGTGAGTTGACGTGGAAGGGTTCTGTGCAACAAACACAGCCTGTCTCCCCAGTGGCACAGGGCAGCACGAGGTGACCCTGCTTGGGAGCCCTCCAAGATGAGGCCGGGCCGTACCCTGGTGTGCCTACGAAGTGTGGACATAGGGCCACGGAGCAGGTGGCTGCCAGGGACACTCTCCACAAGCATATGTTTTGCAGCTCAGCAGGGGGCTGCACACACGGCTACGCCTGCTATGTCTTGGCTAAGAATGAAATTATGCAAAGGGTTCCATGTTGATCCCAGAAGCATGTTTGAGTTTGAAAACCTTCGCTGGGAGGCCTCTGGGGCCTACAGAACAGGCCATGGAGGCTCACGGTGGGGTGAGAGGGGCAGGGGTGTGTGAACCTCTCAGATCTGCCCGGCGTCAGGCACATCAGTGGCAAGCAGAACGCAGGGGCCCGGGTCGCCCATGACTCACTCGGGTTCTGCACTGTCTGGCCGCGCTTAGGAAAGGGTACGGCTCGGTCACACTTGCTTATTCCTATTAGGAACCTCATTCTGAAACAGAAATCCGATTCTCCCAAGGGCCTAAGTTATCACATTGCATTAAGAACAGCCGCCCTGTGTCTCGCCGCTGACCGCTTCAAACTTACCACTTCAGGTGGTTTTCCATCTCTTCGTAAGTGTCCTGTCTCACTTTCTGCTCGAAGAGTGCCTCCTTCATCTGTCTGGTTTTTGAAATATCAGTACCTTGGTCCAGAACTGAAAACAGGAGCAAACCGTGATTATACCCAGTAATCCAATCAGAGTCGCCGGCTGAGAGAAAAACGCATTTCTCACGGCAGAGCACATCTGCCATCTAAATGAGTTTTGTGGGACGTAAACAGTAAACACGACAGCAGTCGTCTTTCACGTCCTGCCCAGGGCTGGTCTGAGGTCTGTGGCGGCTCGGTTACCTTCTCTTAATTCTTTGATCTTCAGCTTCCCTGGTTCCTGGTTTAATACAGTTGCCACCGCAAAAGGATTTGACAAATCTACTGGAAATCTCAAGTTCTGGTACTCGATTTCCTGGGAGAGAAATGAGCAGGGGGGTTTCGTTAGCTTGCTGCTCTGTCGTTCCGAGTGGCACGTGGGGGACGCTGCCCCTTTACCTTGATCTTCTGAGGCTGCTTCTTTGCGGGGAGGCGACAAAAATGTCTGTGCATGTTGGCTTTTTCTGGAGGAGCGTTCACCCTCTTGGAAAGGGTATTCAATCTTTCAAACTCTTCCAATCTATAGTTTAAAACAGATATTAAATTAGTAGGCAAGCCAATAATTCAAGGTTCCTATATTTTTAAGATTTATTTTATTTATTTGAAAGACAGAGTTATAGGGAGAAGTAGAGACAGAGAGAGCAAGGTCTTCCATCCGCTGGTTCACTCCTCAAATGGCTGCAATAGCCAGAGCTGGGGTGATCCAAAGCCAGGAACCAGGAGCTAGGAGCTTCTTCCAGGTCTCCCACATGGATGCAGGGGTCCAAGCACTTGGGCCATCCTCTACTGCTTTCCCAGGCACATTAGCAGGGAGTTGGGTGGGAAGCGGAGCAGCCTAGACTCAAAGTGGCACCCATATGGGATGCCCGCACTGTGGGTTGAGGCTTTAACCTGCTGTGCCACAGTGCCGGCCCCAAGATTCCTATTTTTATGTTCTTTCTGATCATCTCATGATTTTCAGTGCGTTTTTATATCTACACTGAAAATAAATCTGTGTGTCATAACAGTATCTACTAAAATAAATACAGCATCATATTTTATAGTATATTCAAGTATAGTAATATATATATAGGTATATATATATAGAGACCAATAGTTGCTCTTCCTTGCATTCTTAAAGAACATAATGAGTGATACACTGAAAAATTCTCAACCAGGAGAGCATTGCTAGCTCGTTGGTTTTCAATGGCTAAATTTACTACATTTAACAAACATAAATGATGTTCTTTCTAGTCAAAGAGTGATTGAGGGCAGTAGGCTAAGCCACACCTGCAATGCTGGCATCTCATTTGAGAGCACCAGCTCTGCTTCAGATCCAGCTCCCTGCTAATGCACCTGGGAAAGCATGGGAAGATGGCTCAAGTGCTTGGATCCCTTGCTACCCATGTGGGAGAGCTATATGTGGTTCCTGGTTCCTGGCTTTGGTCTGGCCCAGCCCCAACCATTGCAGCCATTTGGGGAGTGAACCAGCAGATGGAAGACCTCTTTCTCTCTGTCTCTCTCTCTGGTTCTGCCTTCAAATAAATAAATCTTTTTAAAAAATGATTATGCCAACTGCTTGCAGCAAGCTCTTTCGAAAACAAATCTACACCAGGGTCTGGAATCTTCTCTGTAACTGAAAACTGCCTGGACATGGGGAGGTAGAGACCGTGCAGCTAAAAGCTGGCGGAAGCTATCCGGGTTATCTGACTGAGATGTAGTACGGCCGTGGCATATTCAGCACTGCTACCTATGAAGCACTGTATTAAGAAACAGTGAGGGCACGCTCGTTCTACACGGTGCTCCCTTGTTTTCTAGGATGTTTCAGGAAAAACGTAAGAACACAGCAATGTCTTTGCTGTGTGACAGTCAACTTGCATTTGCTGAGCACCTGCTGGACGGGCCCAGATGCGTGAGCTGCAACATGTGCTAGCAATCGCAAAGTTAGCAAAGTTACCAGCCAGCTATGTATGAGCACGCATAGAGGCCCATGGCATGGGACAACCCAGCCTCTGGTGAGATCCACTGGCTGACTGCTCTCATGTGCAAGACCTGGGCACCTAGCTACCCTCTAATTTTTTTTTTTAATTTGAATAGCAGAGTAGAGAGAGACACACACACAGAGATTTTGGGAGATCTTCTGTCTGCTGGTTCACTCTCCTGGCTCTCAAGGCTGAGCCAGGCTGAAGGCGGGGGCTCTATCCTGGTCTCTCATGCTGGGGAGCAGGGACTCAAGTACTTGAGCCATCGTCTGCTGCTTTCCAGGCGCATTAGCAGTAAGCTGGACTGGAAGCAGAGTAGCAGGACTTGAACCGGCACTCTGATGTGGGGTGCAGCATCTCAAGTGATGGCCTAACCTGCTGTGCCACATGTCCACCCCCACTATCCATTTCTTATCAGAGCCTTTGTATCTTTGCTGTAAATATTAGAGAACAAAAAATTCTCGGAGACGAGGTGCTAGAAACGTCTCCTGAAGAACACGAATGGTTTTTGTGGGGAATGGAAATGAAGAAGTCTAAGAAAATTGTAAACTGGGGCCAGTGCTGTGGCACAGTGGGTTAAAAGCCCTGGCCTGCAGTGCTGGCACCCCACATGGGTGTCTGTTAGAGTCCCAGCTGCTCTACTCCCGATCCAGTTCTCTGCTATTGCATGGGGATGCAGTAGAGGATGGTCCAAGTCCTTGGGCCCCTGCACCCATGTTGAAGACTCGGAAGAAGCTGCTGGCTCCTAGCTTCAGATTGGTGCAGCTCTGGCTGTTGATGCCATTTGGGGAGTGAACCAGTGGATGGAAGACATCTCTCTCTCTCTCTCTCTCTCTCTGTCTCTCTCTCTCTCTCTGCCTCTCCTCTCTCTATGTGTGACTCCAACTTTCAAATAAATAAATAAATCTTTAAAAAAAAAAAGTGTAAACCAAAGCCTTACACATGGAGTTTGGCAGTGCCAAATTTAGAGCAGGAGTCAGTCTCTCACAAAGAGAGCAATGGAAACAACACTTCAGAAAGCCCTTCCTTTGTGGTGGAATTCAAATATGTTATCATAATATTTGTAGTTTGGTAAGACTTGCAGGTCTTGAGACATATTTTCTCAAAGGGGCAAGAGGGCAGTAAAGAAGACACTGGGGGTGGGGGGCAGCGCTGTGGCACAGTGGGTTAAAGCCCTGGCCTGAAGTGCCGGCATCCCATATGGGTGCCAGTTCTAGTCCCAGCTGCTCCTCTTCTTTTTTTTTTTTTTTTTGACAGGCAGAGTGGACAGTGAGAGAGAGAGACAGAGAGAAAGGTCTTCCTTTTGCCGGTGGGTTCACCCTCCAATGGCCGCCGCGGCCGGCGCACCGCGCTGATCCGATGGCAGGAGCCAGGAGCCAGGTGCTTTTCCTGGTCTCCCATGGGGGTGCAGGGCCCAAGCACCTGGGCCATCCTCCACTGCACTCCCTGGCCACAGCAGAGAGCTGGCCTGGAAGAGGGGCAACCGGGACAGAATCCGGCGCCCCGACCGGGACTAGAACCCGGTGCGCTGGCGCCGCTAGGCGGAGGATTAGCCTAGTGAGCCGCGGCGCCAGCCCCCAGCTGCTCCTCTTCTAATCCAGCTCTTTGCTAATGCACCTGGGAAAGCAGTAGAAGATGGCCCAAGTCCTTGGGCCCCTGAACCCATGTGGGAGACCCAGAAGCAGCTCCTGGCTCCTGGCTTTGGATCGGCGCAGCTCCAGCCATTGTGGCCATCTGGGGAGTGAACCAGAGGTTAGAAGACCTCTCTTTCCCTTTCTCTCTCTCTCTCTGTTTGTGTGTGTGTGTGTGTGTATGTAACTCTGACTTTCAAATAAATAAATAAATCTTAAAAAAAAAAAAGAAGGCACTGGGACAGAGATAGTGATCTTCCATATGTTGGTTCCCTCCCCAGCTGCCCTCAATTAGCTGGGGCTGGGCCAAGCCAAAGCCAGGAGCCTGGAACTCAATCTGGGTCTCACATGTGAGGCAGGGACCCAGATGCGTGAACCCTCACCTGTTGCCTCCCAGGGTCTGCAATAACTGGAAGCTGCAATTGGAAGCAGAGCTGGGACTGAAAGCCAGGCACTCTGATTTGGGGATGTGAACATCTCAGCCAGTGCCCTAACCACTGCACCAAACATCTACCCCTTAAATAACTTTCTGCTGGGGTTCTACATTACCAGGCAGAGAGAGAGAGAGAGAGAGAGAGAGAGAGAGAGAGAATGGAAGAAAGACTCGGATGTTTGAAAACGTGTTCCGGATAAACGAGGCCATTCCAAGGGAGGCATACGGCAAAGCCATGTTGGGATAGCAGGTTCCGGTGAAGACACACTGGTACGGCTGAGAGTTGAACTGTGAAATCCACAGCTGCATTTTCACTTGGGCGGTCCCATACTGGAAGGGTGTGAACTTGACTGTCACATTCATCTTCCCATTAGCCGGAATTATTCCTGGGAGGGGAGAAACGAGAAAACAGGATACTCTCTCTTCTAGCCACCCTGGTCCAAGAGGCTGTCAGCTGCACAGACGCAGGCTTCCCACTGCAAGCAGGGGTCCTTCTGCCATTCTCACCCAGGCTTTCATCAAACACACCTGAATCAACCTCCTGCGGGTTCACACCCATCTTGGTTATCAGCTACTACACTAACCCTTTAGAATAATTCTTTGGTTGTGTCAGGTGCATAAATATGCACACATCGATCTGTATTAGCAATTCAGGGAGGAAGTCCCAGAACCACGACCTGTAAGCCACGATTACCAGATGTCAACACCATGTCAACACCATCGCTGTAAGCAGCAAAGAAGAGCAGTCTCTCTCTCTCTCTCTCTCTCTCTCTCTCTCTCTCTCTCTCACACACACACACACACACACACACATTTGTGCCTGAATAATTCCATTCCTTATATGTTTGTGTAAATTGGATTCTCTCTTTGGCTCTAACGCCAACCAGCACATGGTACCTTATTCTTCCTTCGTGCCTCTGGTGCTGGGGGGCTCAGAACATAGAAAGCGCTCCACAAACATGGAAAGAAGGGCAGTGGAGAGGGAGGGTGGACGGGTCGGTGTGGTCAGGGTGAGTGTTCTCTCTGACTTTCGCTAATGACTCTTTGGTTTGCTTTCCAGACGAGACCTTCTACCCCGGGGTACTTGGTCTTTCTGTTGCCCCTGCAGAGGCCTTGCCTAGTCCCCCTCTGGTGTGCCCTGCACATCCTCCTCCCCGTGTGCCCCTCCTCTGACTTCCTCCCCCGCTCTTCTCCCTCTCCTCTGTGTGCTCAACCACACACATCCGTCATTCACGCAGATGTCCAAGCATCTACCGAGCACCCACTGTGTGCCAGGCGCTGTTTTCAGCAATGAACACAAGCATTCTGGTAGGGGACAGCAAACAGAAAGGAACGAACAAATGAACATCACCCATGAAGTCAAGTCGTGACTACGCACAAGAGACACTAAGTGGGACACGGGGAAGCAGGTGGCGTGATGTGCCAGCTGCAGACAGGATGGATGGGAAGGCCCCCTGGCAGAGCAGAGGGTTGGGGGAGAGGACTTTTGCTCCTGTCCCCAAATGCTAGCTCCTGCTGCCTCGGGGTCTTGGGACTTGCTGCTCCCTAGGCTTGGAAAGCTCACTCCTGATCTTTTAGCTGCCTTCCTACTGCTCGCTGAAATGAGCCTCCTGTTACTAAGGAACCCAGCCTGGCGAGTCTGCATCAGCCTATGCACTGCATGAAACTCCTTGCCTCTGCACCTGTTGCGGCAGGACTATTTGGCCCTCAAATGCAGATAGGAGTTTAAACCCCAGAAGTAAGAGTTGACAGCACCAGGAGGCTAGAAAATTCACCCAATTCTGGTGGACAGAGGTGGGGCCTTTGGGAAGTGATCAGACCTGGTTTTGGCAAGTGGATATGGCAGCTTTGTAAAGAAAGAGATGGACACGGGGACACAGGTGCTCCCACTGTGATGGGGTGCAGCTCAGCAGGACCTCACCAGAGCCTGTGTCACGCAGTTCCAACTTGGAACCCCAGGGCACTGAGTCCTGACAAACCTTTTCTCCTCCTTGTAAGTCAGCTGCCTCAGTATTCCAAGGCTCCCCTGAGCCCCAGGGACTCATGCGCTACCTAAATTGCTACCTTGCAACGTTTACTGCAAGCCCCATAGCTTGTTTACCTTCTTGGGTATCTGTCAATTTCCAGAGACTGGAAGTCAGTCTTTCTGAGGCACCTGCTCCAGCCGCTGCTGGGAAGAGTGAGTGGGCAGGGAGCTGGGGTCCAGCAGCCCACCTAAGGTCCACTGAACAGAAATCCTGATTCCCCATGAGGCACTGGGCTCCAACACCTTGCCCACCCACTTGGTTTGATCCCATAGTTCGGGAAGGGCTTTAGATGTACATTCTGCTGCTTCTGCTCCAGTTCATTAACTTAAAATAAGAGCAAGCTCTGGAGCCAGGATCCCTGTTTGCCTTGACCTTTGACCTGGCTGATTTATGTGCCAGTGTCCAGGGCTAATACAGAAGGCGCCCTGTGGAGGTGTGCTCTGGCAGCCAGAGTGAACCACCGGTCCCCTGAACAGGGATCCAGCTGACATCACTGTTAATGGAGCAAGGGCTGTAGCAGGTGGAAACACTCACAGATGTCCCAGGGCTGTTGAGCACTCACAGCCACTGCTTGGCAAAAACTAATAGTGATGCCCGGGAGAGGATGTCCCACATTTTAAAAAAGAGAATAGCACCTGGAAGAAGACTACTTTATTAAAAAAAAAAGCCCACACCATTTTTCTGTGGCCTCAGTAGAATTTCACGTGGGATCAATGTCAGATCATTACCTTCAACGTAACCAGGGGAAAACGTTAAAGCCCAGGGCAAGGAGGGGTGGTGGTGAGCAGGGGTAGGGAGGGGAACAGAACGTAAAGAGAAACTAACATCTAAGAACATGCTAGTTTGTCAGCAGAATGTGGATCCTGAGGACACGTCTCAATGCTGAAAACCACTCTAGTGCTAAGTGAAGTCAGCCTAGATTTACGAGGATGCAAAATGTGCCTAACGATGAGCGGCCACTGTAAGGAGATGGAAAAATCAGAGCACACTGGGGACAGAAAGGTTCAGGATGGGCACGATTTAAAAACATTTCTTCTTGCCCACATGTGGGTACAATGCACCTACAATATTGTTAGAATGTGTCAAAGTTTTACTTTAGTCGACACACAGAAATCGCACAGATGGATAGGGTGCCATGCGATGTTTGTTTCCGTGCAAGGATCAGATCTGAGCAACTGACGCATCCTTTCTTTATATGAAGACACTCTAAATCCTCTTCTAACTATGCTGATAGGCATCGCTGTCAACTACAGCACCTTCCTGTGCAACAGAACGCCAGAACTTACCCTTCCACAGGGACTGCAGCCTGCCCCCAGCCACCGGCCTCTGCCCGCCTCTCTCTGCCACTCTCCAGCCTCTGCACCCAGCATCCTACCTCAGGGACCAGCTTCTCCGTATTTCACAGATGGCTGGGATCATGCCTGTCATCCTAACTTTGAAGCAGCCTTTTCTTCAAACAGCTCAGAAGGTGGAGTTCATTCCCCGAAATGGTCACCGAGCCATTTAACCCACGCGCCGGCAGTGTGGGTGAGGACTAGCTTTAATCTTCCAGGATTGAGGGTTCCACTAACTGCGCAGCTTTGGGTAAGCTGCTTAAATCCCATCTAAGCTTCAGTGGGGGAACGAGAAGCCTCACAGTTTAAACATCGCTCTTGCCAAATCCTAACAATGCTTCCAGTTTGCCAGACTACAGAAGGGAGAGCAACCATCCACTCACAGCGGCAACAACCACAGGACGTCCGCCCAGGGGTGAGGGTGAGAGAAAGGCCTCGACCTACAGACCATGACTCACACCCTTGTCTGTCACACAGGGCTCAGTGCCTTACCCGAGCCTCAGTTTTCTCATCTGTAAAATGGGAGGTTTAAAGGAGAAAACAACAGACAGGGTCTGGGGCGATGCTTGGCGTGTAACAGTATGTGTCCTACGCGTGTGGCCTGTCCACTGTTCGTCCTACACAGAAGCAAGGGATAACTTGCTGTGTCTTAAATTCTCATTAAAAAGTCTGAAGGCAGGAACCATCTATATGATAAACTTATACTTGACCCATTTGAGTTCTTGGGGCAATCGCCTCCCGGGGTGAGCCCAAAGGCCAGGTCTTCACAGAAGAGCCAAGTGCAGGTGATGGGACAGGTCAGGGAACCAGGCCTGCAGCCCTTCTGCGAAGTGAGACGGGAGCCTGAGGCTCCCTGCTGGCTTTGCCAGGCAGAAGGGATTTCTGCCCAGCCACAGCAGGTGGGGGCTCGTGGGCTACGGGCTGATAAACCCCAGCACTCACTTTGCTCTCCAATCCTCCTCTCCCTTCAGCAAGTTTGACTGGAACTGGAAATAAGTGGTCAAACTCATTCTTTCAGAATGGAACGCCTTTCCTTTTTGACCCTGTGCATCAAACATCGCAGACATCAGGCACAAGACCAGGGCAGCCTGGGGGCTCTGGCTGAGCTACAGCGTGGTCGAGGAGGAGTGAGGAGAGAGGGTGCTGGGGGGAGCATGCCAGGTCAGCAATTCAATTTCCGGCAAGCACACGACCTGCTGGCCAGGCATGCGTGCAGCACGCACACGCTCTGTGTCCACTGTGCCAGGCACCATGCCCAGCTCTGCACAGCTCCTGGGGAGGGTGGGGTGACTGCAGGAAGCACAGGGTGGGGCACCCCCACCACCCACTGCCCAAGCTGGAACAGGCCAGCCTCACCGGACCTTCAGGAAGGCTCATCCACTCCAGCACGTGTCCCTCACCACGGCCAAGGCCACTGACCATCCAAGCCAACTTGAGCTCCCTTCTTCACTTCAGGGTGCTGCCTGCTTCCACCCTGTGTTCCTCCAACCCACTCTCCCTTCAGGAGCCACAGAGCTCTTTTAAAACATACATTAGGCCGGACCACCTCCTGGGTCAAAGCCTGCATGGGCTCCCACCCTACTCAGACCCCCGCTGGGCCTCTCCAGCTGGGGCTTACACCCTTCATCCCTAGCTGCGCCCTCCAGCCATGCTGGGCAAGGAAGCTGTGTTGGAACACACAGGGAGGAGCTGAAAAGAGCTGGGGAAACAATGGAAACAAATGATTGGAGACAAGAGATGGAACCATCACCAAGGTAGACACTGTATCAGGAGGAACAACAAAAAACCTCATACTTATACATGCATACACACACCACACACGTCCACACACAGACACATACATCGCAAACACAAGTGTGCATGCAGCAGGTAGAAGCAGGGATTCCACATAGAGTGACACTGCCTTTTAAAAAGATAACAGATGTTATGAGCAAAGGACAGTCAATATGACCAATATTCCTAAGGATATTCCTGAGGTTTTAATAATAGTTTCCTAAAATAATGGAAGTCACTTTGTCACAGATC